AAAATATAAGAATTTTTTTTTTATTATAGTCTTAAATAATTGAGATTTAGTATCAGTGAAGAATTTCATAATTTGGCAATATCTACTTATTTAATTAAAGAAAAAATTAATAAAAGAAATTTAGACTTAAATATCTATATACAACTCAAATTTTAGAGGAATTAAATGAATTAAAAAAGAAAAAACTTTGTTGAAAGATCAGCGTTCAAATTGGAAAATGAAGATAGCCAACAATCAAGAGGTTTTTGGGAGCTTTTCTCACAATTGGTATATGCAATCTTCTTCAAATTTCTTATGCTTGTTTCTAACTTAGTTATTCAAAGTTTACAAATTTTGAATCAAAATCAATTATTTATGAATTAATTATTAAATTTTCAATCTGCTCTAAGATTTGTTAATTTTTTTAAAGATTTAGGATTTGATTAAAGATTGATTAGGATTGGTTTAGAATATAAGATTAATTAGGATTTTCTTAAGATTTAATTTATGATTGGTCAAAGATTAGGTTTTAAGATTTGATTAGAATTTATTTAGGATTTTATTAGGATTTAATTAGGATTGATTTAGAATATAAGATTTGGTTAAGATTTAGGATATAGGATTTGGTTAAGATTTAGGATTTAATTAGTATTGATTTAAGATGTAAGATTTGGTTAAGATTTAGGATTTAATTAGGATTTGATACAAGATTTGATTCCAATTTATTAGGATTTTAATTAGCATTAAATTAAGATTTAATTAAAATTTATTTAGAATTTATTTGGAATTTTTATAAAATAATTATTTATTTATGGCTTCATATTTACTCTTAGCATTATATGCATGGAGTGAAAGAGCTTCTATTAGATCTTCTCAATTTATTATACCAAATATTATTGCAGCAATTCTTTATAATGCTTTCTGAGGTGTTTTTTATTTTTTTCATTATAGAAATGGTAGAAGTCTAAAATTCACTTGTCTCAATACTTCCATAAAAGTTATCATCTATTCTATCACCATAACTTGTACCTTCTTGTATTGCTATTCTATGTACAATTAGATAGTCTTGAATTAAAGCTTTTATACCTTCTTTGCTCAAATTGATTTAAAAAAAGTCCCTTGTATCTTTTAATGTCACTTTCCCATTTGTCTAGAAAACAATCCTTTGATGCACCATATCATTATCTTCAAATCTTGTTAATTTGATTTAAAGATCTCAAATTCCACATATAATCTCTTCAACTTCCATATCTTTTTTTTGATGTAGACATTTGAGATTGAATGATAGACATTTTCAATTCTATTGTATGTACTTAAGTTTTAGGTGTTTGTATTACTCTTAAAATATTAACCTTATTCTTCTTCTTTTTTTCTTTTTGCAAGCAAATCAACGACATCTTCAACATTTCTCTACTTTGTTGTCAATCCTTCATCTTCTTCTTTGTTTTTAAGAAGTAACTCCAATTTTCCTTATAATTCTCCATTGATAGCTTGAAGAAATAATTCAACCTTATTTGGCTCCAATGTTAACTTTTCTACCTTTGATAATTGAAAATACTAACTTTTCAACTTCTTTAGTAGCTTTTTTGCTTATAAATTCTTGTTAGGCTGCTCAATCCATTCTAAAAATAATTTCTTAATAAAAAAATTGATATCTTCTAAGAAATATTCATCTTTTAATATATCTAAAAATATCTTCCATGAATTTTCATAATACTTTATAATTGATATAACATGTTCTTTTATCTATGGTACCATCATAAGCTTAAATAGCTCAATTATCATCTTTTCAAAAATTTGATTAAATTCTATTTTTTCTACATCATATCTTAAATATTTTGAAATATTTCTTCCATCAAATTGGTCAACTTTGTTAACTACTCCTTATAATACTTAAGTTGCCAAAGCTTCCTTGTAATCATTACTTTGTTGTTACTACATAGATAATATAAAAGCCTAAAACATGCTTGCAATAGTTGGATCCATGTACATACCTTATTCTTTAATAGAAACTCCACTAAAAGCTCTACTTGAAGTTCTTCACATAGCTCTTTCAAAATTCTTGCTCTTATTCTTTATTAAACTAAAATAAAAATAAAAATAAATAACTCCAAGAACTCCTATCTCAAGTTCTTTACATCAAATTCATTACTTATGTTGTATTACATGAAGTCTTGCTTGAAAATGCATTGAGCACTTGGTTGCAGAAGGTAAAAAAATATTTACATCAAGTCCTAAAAAATTTAATAAAATCATTTATAAATTGTAATTAAAGCTTAAAAAATATAATTAAATATTTATTAAGCTCAATTAAATTTTTAAATAAATTATTAAAAAAACACATAGAAATCCTAAAGAACTTCTTAAAAAATCATAAAGAAATAATAAAAAAATCCTAAAAGAATCTAAAGAAATTTAAAAGAAAAGAAAATAAAAAATAAAAAATACAATAACTTTAAAAAAATCCATAAGAATTTTAAAGAAATTTTTATAAAATCCTAAATAAATTCTAAATCCTAAATCAAATTTAATTATATTTTAACTCTTAAATCAATCTTAATTATATTTTAAATCCTAAATCAATCTTAATTATATTCTAAATCCTAAATCAATCCTAAAATCTTCTAAATCCTAAATCAAATCCTAATCAACTCCTAAACAAATTCTAATCAAAATCTAACCAATTCAAATCAAACTTAGGACAATTTTAGAACCTTAATATCCATTGACTCAATTCTTGATGTTGCTTAAATTTTTTACACTTCTCAATTTCTTAATTAATAACAAGTATAGCAAATGTGAAAAAAATTGAACTTACAAAATGGGAGAAAAACATCATAATCCACTAGGATATTGGCCGACCTTCATCTTTGACCTTAATGTTGCTCTTCTAGCAGTAATAACTCCTAATTAACTATTAACTTACTCTCAACTTTTTCACAAGTATTAGAAATCAAGTCAACCATTAATTCTAATAAAAATCACCTCAATTCAATTCAAAGATTGTTACAAATCTTAGATAACCTTATTAGACCTGAAAATCTAATATCAAAGATCCTAACTCATTTAAACTTCAATAACCTCAAATCTAACTGTTTGATTAATCTCAAATTTATTATATATGTTTAGTACAACTACACTCACAATCCTACAAAATTTTGCATATAGATCTGCTACAAAACTTATGAAATTATCCAAATTTTAAATTCTATTTTATTTTATAAAACTTGGAATTATCCAAAACAACCTTAACTTTGCAATGCTCTTACAAAGTCATTACAAACTCAAATTGCTCAAAACCAACTTTTTAAAAAACCTTATAAAGTCTTCTTCCAAATTTCATTTTTTGATTTATAAAAGAACTCTAGAATCACCATAGGTGAGAGGTTTTGTGCCTTGGGGTCTAATTTCAACCTTGATTGGCAACCAATCCTCTCCAAGTATCAATCCAATCTATCTTAGGGATTTTAAAGTTCAATCCTATCTTCATTATAATGACATATTCCATAATATTGATATTAGCAATGCAATTGGTGTCAAAAGACTGCAATTTGATTATTCAAACCTTAATCGCAAAGATGGAGCTCTCACCATAGCTATCCTACAGTATCCCATCAAAGTCCAGAGCGTACAAGTGTTTCATTGTTAATACAACTTTGTCACCAAAATCCTTTACAAATTGAACCAAATTCTATCAAATCCAACACCATGAAGGTTTCTTGTTTAATATTAGCATTGTCCCAATCTCTAGCAATTGTTATCACAAAGGCTACAAAATCAAATAGTTGACAGATGCCATGAATTAATGACACTCGAGATTCTTCAAATGATGTCTAAGTGTTTTTGAAGGCATTGGTCATTCACGAGCAATGAAGTTTGAGCCAATGTATCTTTTTACTTTTATCATTCACCTTTTGATACTTTTCATCTTTTTATTTGTTTTTTTTTTTAATAAAATAAAATAATTGGCCTTTATATTTACTTTGGAATATTTTGAATGATTTTATGATTGATTTTGTGATTTTTATATGAAAGCCACTAAATAACAACAAAAATAAAATAAGTGCAAGTAAGTATTGAGTAATAGACGGTCCTTGTTAAGTATCAAAATTTGCCAATTATGTACAAAATTAGACTTAGATCTTATCAACCATCATATTATCATTCCTAATATTCTTTAACACCTTGTTTTTTATGTCAAGCTAAAACAATACCAATCATATTTGGTGTACTTGTAGTTTTGGGTTGCTTTATGTAATTGAATATATTATATTATTATGATTTTATAGAAGAGTTTCGGAAAAGAATCAATTACATTTGACTATGTCTATTTGAGATAGACTTTTCTAAATAGCATGAAAAATATTGTATTAGATTCTATACTAACAAACAAATCTTATACTTATGATTGATCCATCATTTGATTGGCTATTAAATATTTTTTGACTAAGATATGGCAAATGTTATTACTACTCTAAATTATATGATGATGTTTATATGGCACATAGCAAGTACAACTAGGGCCAAATTGTTGCCAATGTTTACCATTAAAACTTCCAAGATATTTGAGAGTGTGCTAATGCATCTTTTCTAATCTAGGAAATCTACAATTAAATGGATTGGATTAAAAGCACTTCCATCAATCAAGAAGCCCTTGGATTTTGCTCTAGGACCTATAGCTGAGGTGTGCTAAAGCAAAATCAAAACTATACTCAAAAAAATCCCATGGGACCTCTCCTTAATTTTTCAGGTCTCTGCTTACTATAATCCCCTCAAATTACCCTACTTCGATGTCCTCTAATAAAGTAATCAGTGGAAAACTGTCCCTTACCAAGATCACGTAATTCATATGTCAAGATGATAATTCTGAATACAACATTCATTAATGACACTGTCTAACTCCAACAAAGCATCTCCTAATCATGTTTTCATGGATAGTTGGTAAGACTACACATTCATAAAAGAGTTTGTTGTTTCTCACATCCAAGTCACGTGGCAGAAGTATACATTCAGCCAGATGCTATCTAAGAAGTGGGTTTTTCGTGTGCTGAATACATGCAGCACATTCAATTCCTTAAATTTTCGATACATGAAAGACATTCACAGCCTTAAACGGCTGAGCCCTTAGACTTCAAACTAAGGGAGAAACGTGGAGCAGAAGGAAGTACTACAGGTTCATTTTTTCTAAAAATACCCTAGTATACATCGTATGATGTCTAGATAACTTTAATCTAAATGAAGGCAAATCTAAATCAATGATTTGGTCAAAGCACCTGAAATCGTCGAAGCTGGTGTCAATAGTTGAATAGTGGATACCAGGAGTAAGAATCTTCTACTTCAATTTTGCACAGAAATCGGGGAGATCCACGACGTGGATACGTGAAATGCTCTCCGCTTCGTCTCTTTCACTTTGAGTGTTGTAACCCCAGGTACCTGCAGGTCAGGACATTGAAAGTCAGGAATTCGTGATGCCAGTGAAAAGTTACATTTAGCATGGTTCCAACTGGGTCATATATCTCGTAAGATACTTAATAGGAATCGTGGTTGAAGGACCACTATCAAAAACACAGAAAATCACGCATGAGCCAAGAACTCACAAGCAAAGCTCAATAGAGTTTCTAACGGTCATAAATGTACCTAGGTACAGGTGCCAATTGTCAAGTGCTGGGGTCTTGATGACATTGCGGAGCGTGGCAAGCCTGTCTTCCACAAAACTGTTTACATAGTAGATACACGCATTAATACACTTGATCTGAAAATGTAAAAGCTCACCATGACATCAAAGACATGGATTCAAAGCTGGAAACATGAGAATGAACTTACTGAAGAGTCAAGCCTTCATGTTCAGGTCGCTCTTGTAGCTTCTTTAGCACCTCGACTTTAGGTCTGAATAGGTAGTGTCCATGTTAGACTTCTAAAACACATAAATAAAATACCATGAAGAGTAAAAACTCTTCCCTGTGGGGTTTGTCTTATCAAGAAGTAAATTATGATTGAAGAGTACCAACATAATGATGCCTGAACGTTGGAGGAAAGCTTACCCACTGCCAAGGCCATATATGCGGTCCATTGGGAAGTCAATACCACCTATTTCCCTCAGTAGTGCTGATGCAAATCGAGCCTATAATATTATAATAAGGAATTTGTGAGCAGAGGAGAAGAGAACATGAACACCTTTTTATTTGAAACAAGGATATATTTAGAGGTCAACTCTTACTACGTGAAATTGTTTAGCTCTTATTGAATTCTTATCAAACTGACAGAAGAACTTACTTGTTTTGTTGTCACAATAAATAAGGTAGAGGATGAGAACTTTAAAGCGTCTGCTGTCCCCGGGTAAAACCTGCATGTAGATTCCCAGACATACATGATTTTTGAAGTTCTCAATCGCCTGTATAACCATTATGAAGCATTCGGCAATAAAACTGTGGAAGTATGAAATACATGATATTGATTCTTTATAATTTAAGAAGAGAATACTCACTTTGAACACTAACCTAGAAGGAATGCCCGCACTAAGTATGAAATGTTGATGAATACACACCTATTAGCACCAATCCAACCGCGAAGATCATGCTCCAGCCAGTCATCACGTACTTTTCCAAAAAGATCCACCAGCTCCTCTTTGTTCTCACTCCATTCTTTCATCAGCACTGGCTTGATGCCATGCTCCCAATCTGCTAAAATGTCGTCGACAGACAATTTCCCCGCCACCTGTATATTCAGATCACCACATTAGAGTATTGCTGAAACTCATCAACTCGTCCATGTAAGATCCCAAACTTGGGCCGGGCTAGGACTCATTATGTAAAGCATGTACGAAAGAAGTAAAGTAAGGCAACCAAATTCCAGCATATAAGACCTCTAAATATGGCATACCAAGGTCTTGCGCAGATGAGGAGCTTTGATCTCCAGCAGCAGCCGCACAAGTAGAACATTCTCATATCCAGTCTCCACAACAGGCCGCACCTGCTCAGGACGAGCACTCTATCATGAATAAAGACCATTTGGACTCCGAGTCGAATCAGAACACAGAACCTGTAAGGTTGTGGTAACGGCAATGAATAGGACGAGAAATTGTCTCTGTAAAATGTACTTGAAGCAATCACCAAAAATTATAAAACCGGGGTCGTATAAGTACTACTTTGCAAGAGCAACTAAATTGTTAAGCACGATAATTTCAAGTCCATTTCAAAGGGTGAGTCATTACAACGCGCATGGTATCAAGGATCCAAGTCTCTGTAGCTGCATCCATGCCAGCGAAAAGCTCTGGATACCGAATTTGGGCAGCCTGCACAGAGCAGTTCACACAAGGAAATCAGAAAATTCAGGATTTAATCACTGATAAGCCCTAAATAGCAGGTAGTTTGAATCATATATAATCACAAATGATCATTCAATGTTTTATGCATGGAGCGGTATTTTGGAGCACCAACATTTCACACAATTTAGACAGGAAAGGTCCACTTTAGATTCATAGTGGCGTAATCAGAGTGTACTCTGCATCAAAATCACTTCACAAGTTTCACTCGCATCAACGAAAGATACTTGTAATTGGATAGACATTGCCACTAGGTGAGGGGTCTGAGAAGCTACTATACAAAACAAACACCAGCACATTGAATGAGCATTGCTTGATCCACAAACATAGCAGGGCTATTGCTTCTTCTACGGCATCTGAATTCACAATACCACTGCAACAGAAACTTACGCACACTGCTACAGGTACTCATCCCAAGACCACCACCCGAACTTTCCCGAGAATACAAAAACCCAATTCTGTCCAAATTCTTAATAAGCCCACAATCCAAAATCCATACAGCTTCAGGTAGATTCTCAAAACGCCTCTACACATTGCTCAACACGGCTACAAGACCCATCCCACAGCGACATACCCCATAACATTGACATTAGCAATGCGATTGGTGTCAAAAGGCCGGGATCTGAGTGTTCAAACCTTAACCGCAGAGATGGAGCTCTCGCCGCAGCTGTCGCACAACACCCCATCAAAGTCCAGAGCGTACAAGTGCCCCATTGTCAATACAACTCTGTCACCGAAATCCTTTACAAATTGAACCAAATTCTATCCAACCCAACACCGAGAAGAGTTCCTGCACAATACTAGCACTGTCCCAATCCCCAGCAGTTGTTATTGCAGAGGCTACAGAATCAAATCGTCGACAAATGCCGTGAATCACTGGCGCTCGGGATTCTTCAAACGATGTCCAAGTGTTTTGAAGGCCTCGGTAACTCACGTGCCGCGGAGTTCGAGTCAGTGTATCCTTTTACTTTTCCAGCATTCGCCTTTTGATGTTTTTCGTCTTTTTAACTTTTTCTTTTTAAAAAAAAAACTGGTTGGCCTTCGTGTTCGCTTTGGAATATACTGAATGATTTTATGATTGTCTTAACCAGGTTTGAGGTATTAACCAAACTGGGATACTTCGGCACGGGGGAGAGGTGCATTCACTTGCAGCAGACGTTTTTGGGACGCATTGTTGCCCATCTGCGGACGCAGTGAAAAATGTGTAGAGAGTCTCATCGATGTCGGGTCAGCGTGACAAGTTTGTTGATCTGCAAAGTTTGCAAAATGGTAGCAGTTCTGGTGGATGTATCGAGCCCACTTCAAATCGAGTGATAGGTGATGGAGACTCCGTCGAAGATGTCTTGTGCTTTGATCGGAGATCCTCCTTGGTCAATACCGCACTCGGGCTGATGGCATATCAAGTGCCGCAGGTGCATCTTTCATTGTATTTCTGGGTTTTAGGGTTTTGGTTTCGTAAACCCGTAATTTGACTTGAACTAGAAAGAGTTATTTTTTGGTATATGGATGTAAGAAAATTCTGCGGAGCGCGATGAAGTGCTTGAAGATCTCATTCGAGTTTGTTTTCGGGTTGTGCAGGTCTGCGACCTTATGATGAGACATTGGATGGATATGCTTCATTTGCTCCTGCGTCATGACAGTTTGACAGCTCCAAAGCTGCGGCGAATGTTGGATAGTGCTGATTCTGTATTGAAAGAACTGAAAGGTCTGATAACCTCATATTTATGTTGAGAGTGGATCCAAAAAGACACACTTTGTGTTGGTGTGGTTGTGGTTATATCGACGCTTTCATAGTGCAGTCAGCTATTGAAATTGTAATGAAATTTCTCATCCAGTTGTTGATATAGAAGTAGATTGTGAAGGAATCGGCATGCAGTTGTTTCCACCAAACACCGTCTTGCATGATAGGATTCTGGATCTACACTCGCATTGAATTAATCAGTTCATTTTAGGGTGGTTTGGAATGCTTTTGTAATGCTGAAAAGCTTGATCGTTTTTTAGATCTGTTCTTGCCCAGGCCCACATGCTCTGGAATTGATCGAGGCTCTACTGAAGGCAGCGGTACATATGAAGAGTATGTTACAAAAGAGCTTATTAGGCAACTGGACATTCGTGAGAACTATATGCCGTGGCAGTGAAGTTAGTGATGCGGCGTGGGCTGTTGAGAAAATCCTTGAGTATGTGTCGAAGGAAAAAGAAGCTATTTACTGTCAGCTTAGCCCGATTGCCAGGTATTTCCCTACACTTGTGAAATTTCGAGAGCATTCAATGCGACCAGAATTACAGAAATTGCTGTCGGTGTCTTTACTCGGAGTCAATCAGTTTATGTGGAATGAAAACTCTTTCAATTGAAGTTATCTATGTTAATCTTACTCATCGTGCCCTGCGCAGTTCTAGTAGAGAGGCTTCAAAGAAGTAACTTCTAGCTTTTATATGAGTGTTCTTAGTAGATTCTATTATGCGCAAATCGTTCTTGTAAGTCTGTCTTTTGTAAGTTTTAATATGCGCAGTATTTGAACAGGTTACACGTATGGCGGCTTATGCCAACTCGTTTGAAGGAAGATCTGTCCGACCTTGCGAATGAATCCATGCGACGCCCGCTGCTATCTCTGAAACTTGAATCTGGTACATTCAGAGCTTTCGGTTTCATGGTTGCAAGCCTTGCACTTGCCCCTGATCTGCTTAATGAAGTTCGACGCCTTCTTCTGATATGGTCAAGCTCAGTGTAAGTACAAGTTTATAAAACAGCTATCTGGGGGATGAATTCTTTAGTAGCTGAAAATCTAAGGTCGCCTTCTCATATACTCAATCTGTTGATTTGGAAATATTGGTCGCAGACTTAATTTGGGTATAAATTGTTAAGTGGGAGCAAGAGTGCCAGAATTTCAGGTTCCGAAGTATACCTGTAGGTTACGAGCGGTTCTTTTTGCAACATCTTCATTGACTTCATTATGATAATTGTTCCATTGAATATGAACTCATTGAAAACTATTAATCGTTAAATTTACCAACCTAAAAAAACTAGGTTGGATCCTGATAGTTTTGTTTTTAGGGAAATGTCAATGCTGCTAAGCTTGCATGTTTTACTTTGCTGAGGAAAAGCTTATTGATTATGGTACAAAGTTAATCTGATTGGACAAGCCACTTATAATGGATAAATGTAGGTGTGCAGTGCGATTACTGGAGCTTCGTGCACAGCTTACAGTTGCAGTTCATAGTACTCTACAATACTCCTCAGGTTCTACCACACCTGAAGGTTTTTGGTTGCATGCCGTGCATTGTAGCGGTCTGCGGCCTTTTCTTCAGGTCCTAACTGGAGCTCCTACAATTTCTGCTCTGAGACACCTTGTAGAATTGATGGAAAGACGAGACTCTGGTGCTAGAACAGCAGAAAAGAGGGCAATAAAGGTACCAAATTGTGAGCGATCACCGAAACGGCAAAGACGAAACCTTGATATAGCTGACGAAGATCAGGCACTGGACAGCAGGTTGAAGATCATAAATGACGCTTCAACTAACAATCCTGCGATTTCGAGAGCAGAGGAAGAAGCCAGTGGAGTGGGGATGGAAGCACATTCACTTGCAACTGATTCAAGCAGTATTAAACTGCACACCTCTATTTCTGGGAGTCTGAAAGGTGCCTACATTCGTTCATCATGGTACGGAATAAAGCAAGGACTGATTTATGCTGCATGAACTGCCACTGAAAGTTTGAAGCAATCATTGATTCTGTTGTGTTGACCCAGCTCGCTTTCCATGAGATTGTTGTTATCCAGGTCCTCGGAGCTCAATGATTGCACTTCAAATATGAGCGAAAATTTGTGCGTATATTCCTTTATTTTTGAACCTCCTTTTTCTTTGCTTCATTTTGAAAAGCTTCTTTTGTTCCGTACAGGGCCCCGCTGGCAGATTTTTTACATTGGTCAAGTTTTGCATCGCAGCTTCTTTTCCAGCATGAAGGTATGGGTGCATCCAGCCGTAGGAGTGCTGCAGATTTTCTGGGCTGGTTGCTGTGCCCTTCAAGTGCAGAGAGGAGAGCTTCCGTTATTACTGATGTTTTACAAGCTGCTGAAGATTGGCATTCCATGTGCAACGAAAGGAAGGCTGAAGGCACTCAAACGTTGCGATCTGACCATGGAAGGAAGTTTTTGGATTTGAAGTACAAGAATGAAACGGAGAACCTTCCCTCCACACTCTGCAGTCTTTGTGGAGCTCCTGTTAATTGCTCTGGTCATCGTGCCAGTAGTGGAACACATTGCGTCCCGAAATCTTCCCAGTTTCAAAATCTGATAGCGTGGTTACTGAGATTGTGTAGCCTTGGAAGAGAGCTTCAATCACTGCATTTAGAAGGTGGGATCTTGCAGCAATATTCTGCATTAATTTTTTCCGATCGTTTCTGAGGTCCGCAGATCTTGAGAAAGAAGAATTCAGTGACCATTTTTCATCTTGTACAGTACTATTGATCTGTTGTTTTCTTTCTCATAAGTACATACTCAAATTTCTTTTGTAAATGTGTTACGAACCTGAGCTTCTGATAGCGGCTCTGATTAGAATAGGCTAAGTATTTGCAGTAGTATACGCTGACTGTGTCTCTGTAGAGGCTTTCACCTGTTCTATTGAATGTTCTTAGTTTCTACAGCATCGACAAGAGACCTCAAACTCATATCTTGAAGTTCCCAATTAAGAACACTGTCGTTAGTGCTGTTACTATATACATACACACATGATTCTTTTCGTTCCTCTTGATTGTTCTGACCAGGCGTGTTTTTCATTCCTTAACAGACAGCAAGAACGATAGCAAGCGTCAGAGCTACCACGATGGATGGTGGAGAGTAATTCGGACACTGCCAATAGCTTCTATTTCTTCAGATGCAAACTTTTGGGTTCCTCAGATTGGCGGCTTGCTTTTTTCTATGATACTACTGGGTATCTCCTCCTGGTCCGAGGTACCATTATCATCACGATCCTGTTGCGCAGTGTGTGAAGACCTCCATTGTGTGAGCTGCTGTTCTGTGAACCGACACAACTCCTCTGAGCCTCCGCACCGCACAGAACACTTAAAAGATGATGCGAGAATTGAAGATGATCTCAGCTGGGTTCCGTTTGCTTCTGCCCTTGTAACTCACCTTGATACCAATTTTTGTGTTACTAGATCAGCACCGCCTGCAGTTTCTGATTGTGAGCTTTGTGTCAGGAGGTTCGTTGCAGCCTGTGTTCATCACTGGGTCCAATTGATGAACCAGTCAACTGGTAGGAGTCCACAATTTGATGTTGGAATTAAGTATGATAGACGCGTTCAAATCCTAGAGGATTTACACACACGGGTCATAGCCTGGGCTAATTCGACTGGTGCGGGTACTGAGTTGGCTCAGGCTTTTGGAGATTTAAAATTCCAGACACAACAATTCAAAGCATTTTTGTAATATGTGAGGGATGGTTCCTAGAATATGGTCCCCAAAATTTTCGTAAAACAAGAAAAAGTGATTAAGATTACTTCCTGTATCCATGTGAAGTCCACATTGTTTTTTCTTCACTTTTTGTTCAGTGCCCAAACATGAACTTCCTGGTATGGAGTTATACTATACCTCAAATTGTCATGAACGTGCTCGCGCAAGTGATGTGAAAAGTTTTGTGAATTCCATCACATGATGTGTACTAAGCCTAGTCTTGGACAAAGAAAAGTATGCTGTCAGACTTGACATCCTGGAGGATCTGCACATGGAAGCTTAGTATTGAGCGTTGAATCAGTAAAAGAGGGAGGATTGCCCCTGTATTGTAATGGGGATAGCAGACGTTTTGCCTTTTTTACACTGTCAAGACAACGCCAACCCTCAATCTTACCTACTCAATCTTACCCACTCTTAACATCTACTTGTCTTTTGGCCGTTTCAGCTCAGTTGCTTATTCAGCTCCAGTTGCTTTTCCATCACAGTGCAGTCGCATGATTTCCTTATAATAACTATATCCCATACTTCGGCGAATAGAGCAGGCTGACAGACTTCCCTTAATTATGATCCTTCTGTACTTGAACAAACTTTCCCTGCTTGGGCTCGGATCTCTTCGTCATGGACTAGGTGGTGAGTAATGCAGTGCGGTCCGCTTGACACAGCTAATAAAGATCAGATATTCAAATGAACGATACTCCACATATGCTCATACAGTGAAGACAATCTGGAAAACGAACATACTGTACGATTTCAACTACGGGCACTGAACCCCCAAACTACCGCTCCGTTACAACAACAACATACCCACTTTTTTACAAATGTACGACAGAACGCAAGTACTCGAGGTCAATGAGTTGGGTCGGACCGCGGTAGTCTACAATGGCCGTATCTGCAGAGAGCTCGTACTCCGAAGCCGAGCAAAGATGCTACTAAAAAGAATATAGACCTCCAATCCAACGCCCAGAACCGTGCAGATATTGTGGGAGGCAGTGCATCGAAAGAGTTATGACCCAAGAAGCACTTTAGACTGCTTTATTAAAAGAGGGGGGTTAGAAAAGGAAAAAATATATAAAAAACATATAAAATATAAAAACAAATTCCATGGTAGATGGATCCCACTTGTAATGAAGTTCGTCGCTGCGCTTGCCGCATCGGCACCAACAGCAACGAAGAAGACGACAGCAACGACGACAATGCAGTCAAATGCTTTCCTGAACCTCGAGGTTTACTGTTTCGACTGCGAAAACTGGGTACGATGAATGAATGGCCTCTCGGACGCCAGCTTCCCTCTTTTGCCTCTCAGACAGTGCAATTGGCTTTGTTCTTCTTCTTCTTCTTCTTCTGCTCACTACCTGTGCGTAAATATTTGTGGATGTGATGAGTCCCGAGGTGGATTTGCTATCTGCTTCGCAGCATTGCTCCTAAAAGCCTCAATTTCTTAGTATAACTTAATCAGTTCAAACAAATGCCTCGAAGGCTACATTGAGTTTGTCAAACTTGAGGGGCCTCGGTAGTTGCGTGGAGCCACGTGGATTCTCCACGGCCAAGAGATAAGACGGCCCATGACGTGGCGGCGATGACGTGGACTCCCCCATATTGAATCAATTTCACCCATGTTTTTTTTTCTCTTTATTCCTTGTTTGCTTTATTTCATTTTATTTTATTTTATAATTACGGCCATGCACTTATTCTTTCTTTTTATCATTTTTGTCATTTCTTTTTCGTTTTTTATGAATTTTCTCGAAGATGTTCTGCACTGTTTAAATTCCTCCTGTTGATTGGATGTATGTTGAGGATCCAAGCACGTTGGCTGTGTGTTCATTGATAATACAGACACGTTCACATGCACCTAATAGTAAAGTCAAACAAATAAATAAAATCCATACTGTTCATGTAGAGAAGAATAAAATTGTGTGCTTTCATTATTTGAGTACATGAATTTTCTAAAAATAGTTTTCCTGACATTTGAAAGCTACCAAATTGTTTCGAAAGGCTTTAAGTAATAATACTAAAGGCCTTTCGAAATAGAGTCAACAAATCTCTGGAAAGCCCGATTTACATGGAATATGACCCTAGTATAGGAATAATAACAGTAAAAATAATGCTGTTTTGTTACTTTCCGAGAGTCTACTTCTGGATAATATTTTTTGCTATGAGAACGTAGCTCACATTTAGCTACAACCTGAAAACTGGTTTCTCAATCTCGTGGAAGTTAATCCTTTTACGGTATTAAGTTGTTTACAGATTTGGCTGAAGTCAAACTTTAGAACATCAGAATACCCATGTTCATATCAAAATCATTATTCATTAAAATAAAATATAGTAAGTTTCCAAAATACTCAAAATATAGATTCTTGGTATACATATATATCAAGAGAGAGACAAGAAAATGAACTATTTGTATTGGAAGGCTTGAATGAAAGAATCACTGAATTATAATTCAAGTACTTTTAGAATCATACAGATACTATACTTGTCAACAATTCATTGAAGCAACGGTTTTAAAAAGTGATATGAAACAACTTTTAGGCAGAAATATAGGAGATGTAAAATTCTATCAGATTCTTTTTTGTCTACGTGAATGAACTAGCTAGAAAATATAAGTAACCCTCCAAGGAAAATATTCAAATGTTTGTAGAACCTCCATTTAGTATTAACCATTACTAAATAAAGAAATAAAACAAACAATAACTGAGTGTAATCTTATTTACACATGACATATATTTACATCACAGAAAACCCACAACTCTTTTGTGATTATGATAAATAAATGATATACGCACAAACAGAGACACACAACATAAAATTTTACAATAAACCTACATAATCTTTGCTACAAATAAAAGGGAAAACTGCAACCCTGTATACTGTGATGTTAGAAATAAATTAGATTATTCAGATATTAAATATGATATCCCCTCAATTTTTATTATTACGCTATTACGGACCAAACAATAATGTTAATAAAACATGAATGAAATGGTTGATTAAAAAACATTTCATAATTATTCAAAGATAAATACAGAGGAAGAAGAAGGAATAAGAGTTTATAACTAATTTAAAACGGAAGATTACCTAAAGAAAAGCATGTTATTTGAGTTTATTTATAACCATCATAGGAAAAAATTTCTTTAAAGAAAAAACTGACTTCAAAACTCATATGGATAACGTGTTTTAGATGTTTTGAATAACGAATTCTGAAAGTTAATGATTTTTGTTTCAAATGTTAAGATAAGAAATCAAATCTTTACTGGTAAACAACACAAAAATCATGTTGTAATTGTGTTTTGAAAACATGTTTAAATGTATGTTTTACCCAAATTTGTTCAGAATTGCTCAAACACCTCCAGGTGATTTTTATAATGTCATAATAAACAACCTTCTGAACAATTATTTCAAATGATTTTGTTATGATTTTAATAATTTTTTTTAGATCAAGCTACATTAAGAATTCAAGGTTTGATTCTCAATCTTTCAGCATTGGTAAAACGGAAGATGGGTTTCCATTTATACACTCCTTGTGTTTCTATTGATTCTCTAAAAGAAAAGAAAAAACTCATTTTTGTTTATTTTTACTCCACCTTTTTGAAATCCCCACCAACTCCTCATTAAAAAAAAAAAAAAAAAAAAAAAAAATCCTTCTTTTTATCATGTAAATGAATAAAACCTCAATGTGCTACACATGTGGAATTGCCACGGTGGAGGAGAACTCCTCAAAGGACCTGAAAAGGCCAATGCCAAGTGTTATGCTGTTATTATATATTATATACTCTGCTCCATCATTGTCTGCTACAACGCCCATGCCTATATAGGAATATCCTACAATACATACATTACCTGGGGTCTTGAATAGGGAGGGATTGTCATTATGCATGAAAAGCTCCAGGTATTAATATTATTATGCCGCCATTATTATTATTATCATTCTTACTATTACTATTATTATAATAATATTCCTCCTCCAGTATCCCTCTGGTGGTCTCTAGTGGATTTCAACGGCAGCAGGTAGGATGCAACAGATGGATGACTACACATGGATAGATAAAAACTAGCTGAAGACTTCTCCTCACGACTCGGCGCAGCAACAGCCACCAGCGCGAGCTGCCGTCAACTGAGCTCTTTCTGCGACGACAATGACGAGGAAGTGGAAGTGGAGGAAGTGGAGGAGCAGTAGCACAAGACGAAGAAAACGAAGCAGAGAAAGAAGAAGAAGATGCTCATGAGGCACAGCATGCGGCCCACACGGCACACACTCACAGACCCACAGACAGAGACAGAGACAGAGGAAGTGCCCTTCAGAAGGGGTTGGCACCGTCAAAAGGGCCTCCTCCAGACCTGCTGCATCTGCACTGCAGTGCACTGCGCGTGACAGCCAGACCCACACCCACACCCACACCCAGACAGACGATGGATGAGCAGCACCGCACCATCAGCACTAGCAGCACACAGCAACAGCAGCGGACAGTGGCTGTGCGAGGCTGGCTGCCTGACAGGACAGACAAAAGCAAAGCAAAGCAAAGCAAAGGAATCGGAGCTCCAGCTCCCCCTGCACCAGGTCTCCCACTTCTTATCAAGTCCAAACTCCTCAGCACCACCAAACAAACAAAACTTCCCTCTTCCAGAACCATTCTCCACACCTTGCTGAGCAGGCTTCATGGTTGGCTCTGGTGAGCACCAGTGCATGGTGAGACATCTGCAAGAAAACACACATTCAACTGCACTTAGAGCCCCCCAAACACACCCATCTGATCTTTCGCTTTCATGTGACCAATCCACCCTCATGAGAATTCTTCATGCTTTAACATGCTTAGTGTAGAATTGAACCTTAGTAAAATCACACAAAAAACTATGAAGATAGGATCAGTTGCTAGTTGCAATTGGTACATGATATCATTCACTTCCCACATGTAAGAGTAGGAGCAATATTATAGCCCAAAGGGGCATTAACACTTTGCTGGGACTACACCAAGTGTTGTGGCACTTGCAGGATTATACAAAGAACACTGATTGGCTTTCCATGCAACATAGTTTTGTCAAAAAATTACATGTACATAATCATACAACTCTAATGTTATTCACTAGTTAGTGTTGCACAGGGAGGAAAAGATGCCAGGACAATGAGAAAAAAGAAAACTTGAACTAGTCCACCTTAGGAAACAAACATGGGAATTTGTCAAACAAGTTAGAATTATAAAAACTAAACAGTTTAGAAGATGCTTTACAACGAGTGTTTATTTAAATGACAAATAAATAGCAACGCCATGTTATGATTGGGCTATAACACAAAAGCACTTTGAAAGTAAGTATCATTTTATAAAGCATAAAAGATCTACGTGGATGTTCTAAATTGCTTATTGGCAAGAATTATTTTTGACGTCACATTTGTACCATTGAATTTTTGTGTTCTTAAGCAAAATATTTTAACAGAGAAAATAATAAAAAAATTTAGACATAATTTTGAATAATAACATAAACAAAAAAAATATTTTTGCTTAAAATTACATTACAAATATAATTTATTTGAATCAAATATATATATATATATATATATAAATAGGCATCACAGTCCTTTACTTATATATTGTAAATTTTTCTGAAGGATTATATTTGCTCTAAAAAAAGATGTTAATCATGGCTTGTAAAATTGAATATGAATTCTTGCTATGGAGTAATTTTTTTAGAATAATTTATTGAAAAAAGTAGGGCAAAGAGGGTATCAAACATATTGGAAAATTCATTAAATAATTAAACAAATAGATAATATTTGCAATTCTAACCAATGCTCTATAAGACTTTGGGTCATTTTTAAAAAAAATAACAAGAAATATTAAATTTGAATAGAAAAAACACATAAAAAGCATGTGTGTTAGATAGATTTATTTATTTTATACTTATATAATATCAATATAAATATGGAAAAATAAACAGAAAGTAAAATCTTTTGTACATTGTATTGCCAAATTGGATTAAAACATACTGAGGGAAAGTCAAGTAATTTTTCCTGAGGTTCAAAAAATCACTTATAACCCAATATTTTTTTTAGAAACTAACATCTGTGAATTGTAAGACAAAGAATGAGAGAAAATAAATCAACTCTTTGGCACACTTGACACAAGTCTCTAGCTACCAATACCTGAAGAAACATATCATTCTAAGATGCATTTACTACCTTTGTTAATTTTTGCAGCACCATAATAGCTCCTTATCTCCTTGCTTACTACTTTTGCTGGCATTAGAATGAGAATATGTTTAATATATCGAGAGCTACAATATATATACATATGTATATGTAATGTTTGGATATAATTTTATTTTCGTGCAAAAAATCAAGTTATCATCAGAAATTAACAAAGATATATTTTATGCAAAAGTAGTAAGCAAGGAGATAAGGAGCTATTATGGTGCTGCAAAAATTAACAAAGGTAGTAAATGCATCTTAGAATGATATGTTTCTTCAGGTATTGGTAGCTAGAGACTTGTGTCAAGTGTGCCAAAGAGTTGATTTATTTTCTCTCATTCTTTGTCTTACAATTCACAGATGTTAGTTTCTTACTACTTTTGCTGGCATGAATGTGTACTATATTCTCATTTTAGAATGCTTCAAAGCAAAAAAAAAATGCCCAAAAAATGCCCAAAAAATGGAGGGAATACTATTTCCAGCTCACTCTTTGCAGCTGCAGCTTACTCTAACTCTGTCCAGTTTGGGGCACACTAGAGATTGCTTGACTTTGGAATTTGACCAACATGGAATTGAACATGGATTGTTTTGTTGACTGCCAAAACAGGTTCCACCTTCAAACTTGGGCATCTTTATTTATAATTGTACTGGGATGGTTGGTTTAGAGCTGAACCTTGCCTGACTCAGTAGGGCTGTCAAAGATCAGCAAACATATTAAGAATATAGTACACATTCATGTTCTCAAATAAGTATTTGTGAGTTATTTGAGAGAATGTGAAGCCTTACTTTGCAAATAAGCTATAGTAAGATGATTTTGTATATTTTATTATGATATTCACTTATTCACTCCGTTTTTTTCTTGATTGGGGATTGTAAAATAGAGAGTTAAACTGTAAAGTACATGATTTTCAGTAATTAAATTCAATGCAGATGCATATATATATATATATATATATATGCTTTTATGCTTTTTTTTTTTGTGTGTGTGTGTGTGTTACTAAATCGTTAATAAACCTGGTTATCACAAGTTATAAATTAAGATTAATTTGTGACTAAAACTATTATTTTCAGATTTACAAGTATTGTATGCTTTCCTGTAAAAACTACAAAGTGAGGATTCAAACTACCCACTGATTTGGTACAACTTAAGTTGTCCAATTGTTTCCCGTTTTTATTTCTAAATTTTATTTAAGGTCTAAAGATATATGAAACTCAAAAATGAGAATGTAACACTCCATTTGACTGTATTATACATACTGTTACTTGAAAATAAAATTACACAAATCTCTTATTTTGTCCATACGGAAGCCAAATATTTGTGGATATGGCTGCTTCTCTCTCTTTTCTCCCATATTAATTCTTTACTTAGGAACACAAAGGCCACACGCTATCATATAATCAATAGAGCACAAAATTATATTTCACTTAATTTTAATTTGGAAATATGACAAGAGTTGAAAAAGCTAGCAAGGAACTGTTACAATTTACTTTATGAATCAAAATTTTAACTTTTGTGAGTGTTGGGTGAAACCTATTAGAGCATTGTGAGTACTCATAGGCTTACAATTCAAGTATTAACTTCCAAAAAAATTATGTTCTTGGTCTTTAAAAACCTAAAGTTTACATAACAAAACAAGTTACACACATACATAGAGGCACAATTCAAGTTTTAGTATGTTGTTAAAAATGAAACATAAAAAACAATTTCAAGCACTTGTCTCTGGAAAGAGCACAGAATCCTATTGGAAGCCACATAATCTCACTCCTTTCCACCAAAAACTAATTCCACATTAAAAAAAAAAATCAAACAAAGGTGTGTCCAAGGGGAATTGGTTATTACAACCAAATCCAAAAGCTGGCTTGAATTGGATGAAAGTAAATGTTAAAGTAATTGTGAAAGTAAAAGATGAGGGAGAAGATACACCTAGTTGATTACACTAGAGGTGGCAACTGCGGAGGGATCTTATAAGGATTTCTCACTAAGAATAGACCAAATAAAGCTCCATATGTACCTCCCATAGCAAGTTGGTTAATACATCTTCCTCTCTACCCTTTACTACTTCCAAGTACTAGCTTACATTCTTCCTTGTTTTCTTCTCTTCATCTTCCCCTTGCACCACTCAGTATTGGAGACACCCATGTTTGTCAAAAGAAGGGATTATATCCATTGGATGAGCTCTTGGGCCAAGACCCACTTGGCATAGAAGTCATGTCTCCATCCCAACAATCACATTCAGACTCTTGGTCTATGGCAATTGACAGATGCAGAAAAGAAGTACATTAAAGAAGGTAAGGAGAGATACATTATCCCAGGAACCCTACCTCTTCACAAAAGAGAAAAAAAGAAAACAAAAGTGAATGTGGATTCACACCTGCTCTTTATTTTATGAAAGTTTTTTATTTTAGTGTAGCCAAATAGCCCACAATCTTTGTCTCTCTCTTAAAGCTTTGGAGAAGAAGAAAGAGGAAAGAATATCCTCCCCTGTTTATAAAGCATACAGGCAGGATTGGCAATTAACGAATGATCTGGAATGGAGAAGGGAAACGAGAGCCATTCGATGTGAACGCCCGCCAGACGGAAGACCAGTCAAAGTGGGAGCTAAGCTTAGCTGGAGCTTAGCAATGTCATGCTAAAAGAAAGGGGAGCCAGCCTTCCCTTCCTTCCAAAAGGTGGTGGGTGGGATCCATCCCCCACCCCCCTCCCCTGTAGGGATCCAAGAGCCCCCTCTTCTACCCCCCCACTAGTACTTGTGCCTTTCCCTCTCAAGACCCTTTTGTCTTCTACATAACACTGCCCAGCCCCGTTCCCCTTTAACTTCCCCCAACGTATCCAAAAATAGAAAAGGGCTTGGATGCGGCTGGATTCTGTGGGGGAATCTGGACGGTCCAGTGTGCTTTCTTCTCGTGCTTGATAGGCTGGTTCAGTGTCGCAGCCGCACTCGGTGATGCCGTGGACGTTTGAACACTCTTAAGCAGGGACCTCCATAATTAGCGGGACCCGCCAAAATTAGCGGCGGTCAGCCAAACTCAACCGAGTTGTTCTATTCGCTCCTTTCCTTTCGACCTCCCCGCTCCCAAGGCCGGAGGGCGGACTTCCACGCTTTGGTCACATACACGGTGTAGGTGCGGAAAATTAATAGTCTGGGTTTTAATGAAAATACTTTGTGGCCGACAATGGAGATTAAGTGTAATGGAAAGCGAATCGTAAGGTTTTAACTCGGAGCAGCATTATTAATTTTTGTTTCGAAGATGGGAGGGCGTGTGCGCTGAATTGGAAATAGCTCTTTGAACAGTGGCGCGTCAGAAATTGCGCTCTGAACAGCATAGTTCTCGGTATGGACGCTGTTCTGACCTCGGTGGTCATGATCGGATACTGGGAATTATCCAGATTCGTGTTGGAGGCATGGACTCACTGCTTTGCGTGTAATATCTGCTTTAGTGCAAGTGTGATAGAGAATTGGAGGTGATGTCGAGCGACCCAGCGACAGAGAAGTTTGTGGCGTTGTTTTTGTTGTGGTCTCAGGTTTCGTGAAAGGACGGAAGTTTTCGATATCGGATAGTTACTTTAATCGTCTGTGATAGTTCAATGCATCGGTTACTATGTCAATGAATTGGAGAGGAGGCCATGCAGAGCCAGTCAGACTGCAAGTGATTAGGTCGACGAGTATTTGTCCTACATCCTGACACCTTCTGACCCGTCAAGGACTTCTTTGGTGTTTGTCGCTTGCAGAGCTTTCTCGTTGTTGATTGTTTTGTAATGTTATTTTTATTCTTTTTCTCCTCCTTCCCCTCCCCATCCCCCCTATAGGTCTCAACTCAGCTTCCCCATTCGTTCGTCCTCGCACAGCAGGCTTCTTTCGCTTGCCAGCTCTCCTCAGGTGCTTTCCGTTGCTTGATCGTGCGTGATCGTGCATTGCTCCAGCTACTCTAAGCACCACTCTTCTGTGCCTGCCATTGTGCTCTCTCGTCCTTGTTGTCTGCGCTGTTGCCGAATGAGCCATCAAGCTCGTACTCCTTTTTCTACTCCATTTCCACTGTGGATCGTAGGTTCGTCCTCCGCAAAGCAACTTCAGAGGTAGTTATAGTTGTCATACAATTGCAGATCACCGTGTAGTTTAGATGCACTTGTCTTCGTAATCCTCCATAGCTGTGACGTTCGTTCTTCTAATATCGCGTACTCTTTTTTACGTTTCTGCTCATGACAAATCATGTAGACCATTGTCAAGTCCTCAACACCTTCTGAAGCATACAGCTGCGAAGGTCGAGCATCTGTGAATCTTCCAAGAGGTCTGCAAGGAACAAGACCACCAGTAAAAATTATGGACATTGAGGGACACAGACCTGTAGTTTTTTTAGTCGTACTTTTCAAGGTTCGAAGTGGCTACTCAAATTCCACGCACTATATTTGCAAGGGTTCCTCTTCACCATACGCTAGCTGTGATTGAGGTTTTCTCAACGCTATCTGGGAAGGTAGTATGCCGCCAGGAGTAGAGGTTGTCGATTCGGGAGAATCAAAAGGGCCGGCGTGGAGCTCACGCAGCAGTCATGCGAATGCTTGGTTTACCTCGGCGGTTGAACTTCCGTCCACCTTAGTCTCCAGAGTGGACCAGGTGTGTGTGCCGCGCTCCTGCAAGCCAATTGTCTCATTTAATCTCACTGTCCATGAATATTCCGTAAACATACAGTTCAGAATGCGGCGTGGTCTTGGCAGCTTGGTTGCATCTAACCGCTCGGGAACATCGAATTATTGCTTTATTCCCACTCCAATTCAACTTGTGAAGTTCATCGTAGGCGATCTGGAATAGCTATGCAGTGTGTGGCTTTGTCTCGGCCACGGTTCTCAAGGTCGCTCTACAAACATACTGCAGAGTAGTGACTAGAGGAACGAGATGAAGCAGAGATTTGGATATTAGGCCTCAAGTTCCGAAGAGAAGGGTCTTTTCACCTGTAGATCATAGCCGGTGTTTCCCGCTAGTTCACAAAATGGAAGGAAAGAATAGTTTAAAAAAAATGAAAAAAGAGAGATGTTTAGTACATCTGTCTCAACAGGTATCTCTTGATAATTCTGTAGTTTTGTGGAGCACTAGGATTCACTTATGGTGTCAATTGTCTACGATGTTAGTCAGCGTGTCAAGAGATCGTGTAGCAGTGATGTTGGCATTAATGTGACATCCCATCTCAATGCAGGTTCCAGCCTCACTGGTAGGATTTACTCGGCCATGGCATCCGGGCGCCAGAAGCGAATCGAAGTTACAACCACAACGAGGTCAAGAGTTTGCGGGGTTCTGGACGGATCAGAGCTTTGTAGGATCAAACAAACCTGTAGAACTTCCCAGACCCATGGATGAAGCGAAATCTGTGGGAAAATCCTCAGTAGCAGATAGCGGAGCTTGTAAACCTAGTGTGGATATTTCAAAACCCATTGAGACAGCGCCTGCGAGCTCTGCAGACTGCCACAATCTGCCCCAGGTTGGTAAATGCCGGCATAATGTGAACATCGTACCTTTTAATCTCTTCCCTGCAGGTTTCAAACAAGATTCAAACTCACCAATGCGCTCATATATGCTCCCGAATATTAGCCAAGAATGTCAGGTAAGTCAGGGTCAAGATGCGAACTCGGCGAAAGTGCACTCTGTGGAGAGCTTACAACGGCAGCAATCCTCTAGGGGTGATAAGGACAACCATAATCCGATGATCCAGGATGCTGCTATCCTGCGAGTAGACGAAACCAGCATTCTCTCATCCAGAAGAAGTTCTGCCCATCATTCTTCCCGCTCTTTGTGTCAAGGTCCTCTTCTGGAAGAAGCAATCAAGAACAATCCTCCTCACTTACTGCCACAGCCACCCGGAAGCGACCGGGTCGTACACGTGACTAAAACAGAGTTGTCAAACTTGATAGAAGAAATCTTTCCTAGAAACACAAATAGCCTTGCTCAACTGAAAATCGGAAACCCTACGCCAAAAATGAATGAGATCTTGAGTCGAGTGTCCAGAGATCCAGTGCTGGGTGGTTCGTCTCGAGTGACGCGCCCCTGTGAATCCCAGGAAGGGAGAGTAGCTAGAGCACCAACTTCCTTGCCAACATCGCCTCGGTCCATTACCAAAGAGTCTCGTGCATCAAAGCTTTTTAAGAAATTTAAGCTTTCCGGACCTAGTTCGCGAGGCAACTGTGAAATTGGCAGCACTTACATGAAATCAGGTATGCTGAGATGTGGATTTGTTGACTTAGATAAATGAAGTTTCCCATTGCCATCCGTTGGATGTCTCAATTTCTATGCTTTGCTACACCTACGGGGTCCTCAGATCCCTTCTCATGCCTTTCAAGCGTTTAGCAATTCTCTTTTCCCTACATTATAGCACTATCATAGTGGAGGTCTCTGTGAAGACAACCATCGGTTCGCTTCGAAGTCAAAAGGGCCTAACAAGTTAATGAACCATTTCGTCTAAATGGTAAGAGAACGCTTAGAAGATTTGTAGTCGTCTGAATGTAGTGTTTTACAAAGCCTGGTTCGATTGCAGGTGGGCGGAATAGCTTGAGGGGAGCTGGAAATCTGTCGAAGGAAAATGGATCAAATGTAGCAAGAGATCTCGTTAATTCACCAGAACGAACGTTTGCGAAGAGCTTGGAGCCACACAAAGTGGACATCACGAATGGGATGCGGTCTGATCATAGTTTTGAAAAACCATCTGACGAGTGCGGCTCAGATGGTAATCGGATCAAACATGCACATGTACCCATCATACAGTCGGAGTGTTTGAAAGTGGATAGCAACAGTTTTGCTGGATCTGACAATGGCTCACAACCAATTGTCCGAGCTCCAGAAGGTAATGCAGCATTACAGGAGAATGCGACGCAGAAGAAGAGTAGCTCACGATGGCTTTTCAAATGGAAGTGGGGGTTAAAGCCTTCTGCTAAGGTCGTCAAAGCGTCAGTCAAACGCATGGAAACTCCAAGTTCGAGAATTGTGAATACAGATTCAGCCATTTCACCATCTGCAGAGATTATGAGTGATGCTCACAACTCATTTTACACCAAATCAGATCGTTTTTCGAGTTCGGGAATCGGTAGGAAACGTTCTCCAAGCAGCAGATTTTCGCACAGGCGAGGATCATCTTGGGGCTGTGCCTCTCATACTTGTACGGCAACCGTAAACACTGGCATCAGAATTATCCAAAGGTCACGCTTACCAGATGAAAATGGTGCAATTGATGGTTCCCAAGCCTTTGCTGGATCGGGAGTGGACAGTGTTGATTGTGATAGGACGCAGAGTTTCAGGGACTGCCAGGATAGCTTTCCGTTGTTTGAAAGCCCGAGGAAAAGTTTGGGAAGCTTCAGAAGTGCTGGAGTGCAGAGTTTCAGGAAGAGTGATGTCTTTGAGGATTGTCTTGGAAGCTTTCGAAGTATCGGCAGTCCAGTAAGTTTCACTGGAAGCTTCAGAAGCGTTGACAGCCCGAATATGAACCGCAGTGGTGGTAGAAAGAGATTTCCTTCTGTTGAGGAGATTGAATGGGATAGCCGCTTACCGCCACCATTGCAAGGGGATCAAACTCTAAGGATTGTAGACGTTGCTGCGTTGTGTAATTCATCTCTGAAGTTCGTCTTCAAATGTAGAGAAATTCAGCATTTCAATAGATTTTTGAGACGTCAGAAAAGGCGCCTGCTCGATTGGTTGAAGAAAGGAAATACCGACCGCTTCAACGTCGTCCGGTCGGGGGCAGATATTGGTACGTTCTTTCCCTTATTTTTTCAACTAATTCTTGGTCATCAAAACCGCATCCATCCCTCACGGTTTCAGTGGTAGATTGATGATGTTCAGAATGGCACTCATAGTTCTCTGTGTGGGCTATTGGCAGAAGTGAGTTCCATGGTGTCGGCGATGTGCTACGCCTGGTTTCTGGAGAACACGGTTCCGAAAGTGACAGGGGCGACATGGCATGCAGTTCCTGTGATCGACATACCTAGGCATCAGATGCATAAACATAAGGATGCTGCTTGGCTTTTTGATGCTTGTGGAATCGACGCTGCGGCGTTGTTATTTGCAGATGAGGTAGCCACCGAATTATGCTAAGCAATTTCTCAACCCAGCCATCCTCGCATGGATATACTTCGCATGACGGCAAGTTCTTGTAGAGAATGGGTGCTAATTCTTATATCTATTTGATCCATGTGATTTTGCAGATCGAGATGGCAAGCTTGATTGAGGCAGAGCGCGTGAAGATCTCAGTAGTTGAACAAGACGTCCTTGTGACGAGGAATGAGGTAAATCCTCTCAGAGCTCGTATCCATGGTTTAGACTTGATAATTATGGCTTCTGCGACATGTTTGTTGTATGGATTCGTAACCACGAATTCCATACTTTTTGAGCTGAGTTCCGTTTGGAATCTGATGTCGTTGACTCATTTTATCCCAGTTCTCTAGACTACATCTATGTTTCACATAATGTTTTACCATTGCAAGTCACTTTTTATCATTGTAGGTGGGTTCCGTTTGCACACTTCTAAGCGAGAAGCTTCTAGTTGAAGCCCAATGCTTGTTAGAACCGCGCTACATGAAGACGCTCTTGGTAAGAAAGAAGTATGACCAAAAGTTAATGACACCTAATCAAGTTCTAAATTCTAAGAAGAGACTATTCAGACATGCCACACATATTCTAGGCTTGCTGAGTATCCTAGATTTCATTGTAACTAATTTTACTCTGGAGACAATCGTTCTGATTCAATGATCGCAACCTCCGTACCAACTATTTGTAAATTTTTGCAGTTGGCTGGGATTCTCTTGGACACTGAGAACCTGGATTTTGCTTCAATGCGGGATACTGAAATGACTACTATGCTGTTAGTTGGATCTAGTTCTCTCGGGAGGAATGGATTCTACGATCAATGTAAGTCGAAAATCGCAGTTGTGCAACTATTGATACATGCTACTCACATTTACATACTGTCACATCTTAACTTATCCCTGTGATGTGGTGATTATGGAAAAGAATGGGATTGCTTTTCATTAATTTTGCGTGCGGCATGTGACAGTAAGAAGAGTTGAGGATGATAATCAAGTCTCCGAGTTTATCACCCGTTTTTATGGCGACGGCAAGCAACTTTCAGGTGACAAGATATGCCCTGCAGCTGAATCAAAGGTACGAGAAGAAGCCGACCAAGAGCAGTTTGATAAAGACTCACTTTTTACTCAGAGCCAAGACCAGACATCAACATCGGAGGCTGGCACAAGCTGCAGTAGTTTAGATGACTACTCACCTCGGTTGAAGCAAAGTTCCTCCTTCAAATACACCAAATTGATTTCCCATTCTGCTCCGGCTAGAACTCAACTTCCTTCTCCTTCCAGTAAGACTTACCGATCCTTCTTGCAGTTGTACAGCCATTTTCAAGTTTAGTAGCAAAGGATCGGTCACAAGTACCTAGTCTTAGTGAGACACAAACACCTTGTCTCATGGGAGCTTTTGGTTTACCTCTGAATATCCAGCTCAGGGATTTGGAAGACCAAGTTGCTGATCTCAACATCGTTGGTGAAAAGATTTGATCTGCCTTAGCCTAGTATCGTTCCTACCCCATTTGATGTATGTAATAAGAACCTTCCTTTTCTTCGTATCAGAAGTTCCTCCACTGCCCCATTTATTGTCACCATAGAAAGCTCATACCTAGATCTTGCCATTACCATATCTTGCATCCTTCACAGAATGTTTTAGGAAATGAAAAAATTTGTGATTCTTAAGAAATTTTGAAATGCTTCTCTTTTGTTATTGAACTATACCTGTTGCTAACGCAGGTGCGGGATGTAATGAAGACAATAAGGCTGTTGCACATATAAGGAAAGCAGCGACCAGGTCAGTCAGTTCAGAGCCTCCAGCTTCGGGAGCAAGGTCTCCAATTTCTCCGAATTTTAGGATACGAAGAAAGCTCTTCCTCTATCAAGCATAATAGATTACATACAAGGTATATCTGAAACAAAAAGTTAGTGACACCAGCAGCTTGTATCTTCCTTTTTCATTGTCTGGCATCTCTTTCAGACAAGAGAGTAAATAAGGACGGAATTTCAGTGGAATCCACTCAGGCGGCCAGGATCTTTGGACAGAGTTGCTTTCACTGTCGGGATGCTCTACTTGTCTGGGCACAGTTGTGACGTGAACTAGAAGGAAGAATTTTATTTGTATACGCTCGAGCAATAGGTGAGACCAAGGCTCCGAAGCGGTAGACCAAAGGAGAGTAGGTTACTATTTGGCTAACTATTTGTGTAGTTGTGAAATACGTTGCATCCTCCGCCATGCGCTGTGTTAATCTGCAGAAAAGACTTACTTGGCAGTTGGTGCAGGATGCCGATAAACCTGTAAATATATCTAGTAATTTTTTTTTGTCAGGTTGGTTGAACTGTTCGGAGATTTCTGCATGTATCTAGTCGCTCATCTTGCAGACTAGTGTTTTATTTTTTTAGTCAGCACAGATCTAACGAAAATGAATACCGATTGTGTTGACGTGAAACGTTCTGCTTGTCATTACAACTGCACATTGTGTGTGTTGCCTCAGTGAAAGTCGTCATCTCAGAGATAAGGTCTCGATGCATAATGGTGGTGGAAACTCTGCCGACGCGAACATTGAGGATTTTTTTCTTGTTGCTTCATGCTGACTTGGGAATGTCCGAAAGGTGATTACTTCTGTACTGCTTATGGGCTTCTGGAATTAACTTGCGTCGAACAATGCCTGATGACGCTGTTAATGTTCTGTTGAGGTTAATTCGACTTGCCTAGGCGAATAGCCAACCTGTGTTTGTAACAAGCATTTCTTGATTGCTGACTGAGTATAAACGTACTTCTTTTCTTCTTTTTGTTAAGTTGTAATTTTATTTTGGTTTTTTTTAATTTATCGTGAAATCATTCGAGCACTGAAAATGCTGTTTAGGTACCTGCAATAAGCTTAAGTACAAAAACTCCAATCTTCAAACCATTCATCATCAAATTTATGTTAATCCTTTTGGGTTTGTTAATACCATTGTCAAAAATCCTAAAGTCTAAGTCATATATCTTGGTACGAATTTTGTAAGCCTTTTATCTCTGGAATTTTACAGTTTCTAAAGATTTTATTTGTATCACTAGTATTGAATCAGAAGTATTGAAAACAAAGAGGTAGATCAACTTAAAATTTGAAACAAGATAAAATAAAAAAAAAAAATTCAACAACCAAGTCAAATCTCCCAATCGAAAACTTGAAAAACTTCTAGAGCTTTCAAACTGTACCACTAGAAATGCACATCCCAAAAATATAGAGAGGTAAGTCAAATCAAAACTTATAAATATTTGGTCATTTTTATAGTAAAAAACCAAAATGGTCAAATTTTTAATACTTATTAATATATATTCCTTTAAAATAAGTTAAATATATACATATTTAGACTTAGAAATTCTAAATTTAGCAAAGTAATCTACTCAAAAATTATAAAAGACCTTGTATTTCAAAAATCAAAAACTTTAAACTAATGCCAAAGTGACTATATCTTGCAAATTTAAAATTTATAGACCAAGTTATTTATACCAATGGAGTCCTAGATTCTAAGAATAAGGAAAAAAGTTAAGTTAAAATTTAAAAATTAAAGTTGTTAATAAACTAAGAATACTCATATAATTTCAAATCTTAAACTTTAAAATAAAAAATTTAGCCATCACAAGAAATATAGACATAAAAAATTAGAAAGATGGTAGGTCATCTTAAAATAAAAATAAATAAATAAAACAAAATCTTAAAAGAGCCTTGTATTTGTAAAGTCATATATTCTAAATCTAAAATAAAGAAGATTATTTATTCAAAACCTGCAAAAAAAAAATTATTTAGAAAGTCAAAGTTTAATTAAGCATATCTTTTAATTTAAAGATTTATTGAATAATTTCTTTATACTATAAAAATAATAAATTCTAAAAATAGATAAATAAGTAAAGTCAAAATTTTAAAAAAAGAATATCAAAAAAATGAATACATTCATGAAATCTTACCTCCTAAATTCTTAAACTCTAAAACCTCAAACCCTAAATTGCTAAACTCAAACTTGAAAGAGATTCATATGCAACTTTCATTTCTATCAAAGTGCATTGATTTTTGCTTAACAAGCAATAGGATAGAGTAAAAAACAAATGAAGTATCAATTTTAATAAATGAGAGATTATAGATGTGCACAAGTACAACAACAATCTTTAATATAAGAGGAATTTTTTTTCTATGATAGTTGGAATCAAAATAATCTAAATAACTGCTACCTTGTTTTTTTTTCTTTCTTCATAATGTACATTAATTTCTTTATAATAAGGCAATAGATAGTAATGTAGAAAGATTCATGTTGAAGAATATCAATAGTAGTGGATATTAGAAGAAAAATTATTTACATAAAAATTATATTGGAAGAGTTCACTACTTCATTGGAGTTTATGGTACCAATCAACATGACTATGTGTAATTCAATTCATAGGTTTTATAGTTTTAAATCATTTATATTTTTAATGTGAATAGAAATTATTTCAAACAAGATATTTTGTAACTATAATATAAATATATTCTTATATAAATCTATTATTTTATTTTTATAATATAAATAAGAATGTATATATATATATATATATATATATATATATATATATATATAAAGTAATATTAAATAGATCCAATATCTTACTAAATAGATTTACCTATCATCACAATCATGAAAAGAATTAACTTCTAGATTTATCTTTCTACTATTAAATTTGTAACCAACAAAAATCAAGCTTATTCATCATAATTATTATATACTTTATCATAATTTCAATCATAGTTCCTTCCATTTTCTCTTGCCTTTGTCAAAGAATCTTAATTATTTATTCAAAAGGGAACAAGAGATATAACTCAAATCACTCTTTTTGCTTTGCTCCTACTTCCTAGCTCAGATATGCTCAAGTCTACTAAGATATACTCATATTCTCTACTCATCAAGCAGTATTCTCTTAAACTTTATCATGTTCATATTTGAGCTTTGTCACACTGTGTTTGCTTGAGCTGTACTACTTTAAGTAAGATCTACTATATTGAATGAGATACAAAATTGTTGCATCGTGCTTATTTGAGTTCTATTTTGTCAAGCAAGATCTACCATTGAGGATAGTGGTTGCTCATAAGCTAGATAGATCTAACTCACGTCATATTTTGGATTCATGTAAGGACAAAGTGTCCTAGTTCATCCACAACATGTATTTATGTTTACTCTAATTGTGTAAGTCTTATACTTTATGCCACTTATTTGTTTATTGTGAAGCATTTAATAACAATTTATTTGTGAAATACTCACATATCATTATTATTTTATATATCTATTTTAATTATCAATATTTTCTTATTTTTATAAGAATAATGTTTCTTATAAATCATTATTTTTTATTCAATATGTTTGTAAAGATTATAAGCTCTTAATCTTGAAGATAGTAGAATTATATTGATGAAAAATAGTCAAACTATTTTCAAGTCCTGAATTTAATAATACCAATTTAAGATCTTTTTTCAACTAGGATTAAAACAGAATAAAACAAAACAAGAAGATACAAACCCAAATTTTATTAAGAGAAAGGATCCAAAGCCATACTTCATCAGATGTCCTAAAAGACCTTGGCTAGTCCTATTTATACTTTGTTCTACCACCCCTGACTTTACAGAATATTCTTAGATGATGAATCTCACTTAGATAACCACCCTAAATTCTATCTAGAAAGTTTTATAGCGGGCTCTACCTAGATAACCACCCTAAGCCATTTCTAGAAGGTTCCATAGTAAGCCTTATCTAAATAACTGTCGTAAGCTCTTTCTAAAATGTTTCACGATGGATCCTACATAATCCAGTAAAGTAGCCTCAATTCTAAAAACTTCCAAATCTTTTCAAATATGGTTCCAAGTATCTATTCTTATGTGTCAATAATACAATTATCTTATCATTATCTTGTTACAATTAATTCTTCTCCATTAATACAAAATGTCTTTATTTCCTTCTTCATGGTATCTCCAAATTATCTCTTAAAAACGGATAAGGTTCTGTGCAGGTTCCTACGTTGTATCATAGATGGGGTGACCTTTTCAAACTACTTTGTATTGAAGTTGTAGATGTTCATTTCCATGTCAAAGGTAGCAATGCTCCAAAATACTACCCACTTCATATTCTTATTGATCCTCAACTACGATTGGTAGTGGTGGTGGTTGCTGTTGATCCAAAAAGTACTTTGGCTCGATATGAAATTCCTTCAATTACGAAACATGGAAGACTACATAAACCCAAATATATGGCGGAAGCTCCAGGCAATATGTGACATTAGAAATCATTGCAGAAGTGTTAAAAGGTCCAAGCCACCAAGGAGCCAGTTTATAGATTTTGGTTGATATAGCAAGTGATAAGTTGGCATTGGAGAATAACACTTGATCACCTTTTTGAAAGATCTTGTATTATTGATGGTTATCTGCATACTACTTCTGTCTATTCTATGCGATAAGGAGATGGTGCCATACTCCTTGTAAGGCCATTGTAAGCCATTGTATAAATTCCTCCATTTTCAGATTGTTGGTATCGATGGAACAATAGAGAATTGATGGCAAAATTAGATGCTGACTAGTATTATGAAAAAATAGTGAATGACTAGTCCTTATTTGAATACTATCATTGTAAGCAAACTCCAAAGGCATCAAATATTCATCCTAGTCATTATGATGAACTACCACAAATACTCACAGCATATCTTTCAAGATCCAATTTGTATGCTTTGTTTGTCCATCTATTTGGAAATGAAAGGTTGTAGACATGGCAAATCATGTTTTTAATAACTTGAAGAAAGCTTGCCAAAGACTTCTCATGAAGCATGGATCTCGATATGAAATGATGACATGAAGTAATCCATGGTGATAAAAGACAATATTGAAGAAGACTTGTGCAAATATTGAGGCATCAATATATGAGTACATCAAGGCTAAGTGAAGTTGTTTCAAGAGTTGATCCACAAAGGCCGCAATTGCAGCGTGATTATGAAATATCTATGGCAAACATGTAATAAGATTCATAGTCACCTGCTCCCAACATGTTGTAAGAAATAGAATTGGCTGCAATAGTCCAGAAGATGTTATATTATGTGCTTTATTACATTGACATGATTTGCAAGAATGCACAAAAGTCCAAGCATCACAATCCAAACTTATCCAAAACTATATCTTTGAGATCCGTTTTAGAATCTTTTCTTATCCTAGATATTTAGGTATTGGAATATCATGTCCTTCTTGAAGTATGTACGTCTAGAATATAGCATTGTCAGGTACATAAATTTGCTTCTTGAAATAAAGCAAGCCATCATTAAGACTTTAATCTTCATATTATATATAGCCGACCTTTAGTTGATTGCTAATCATTTTGAAATAAGCATCCCAATTCATAGCTTCCTTCCATTCTATTTTTTTGGTTAGGTTTGAAATG